CTATAGAGCTGCTGGTGCAGAGTCTGGAACGAGAGAGGGAGAGTTTTGATGGTTGGAGGTTGTAGCCGGGATGCGAACCCTGGAGCGAGGGCAGGCATTGACCTAGATGCCCTCTCTCTACTTCTCATCCTTCTCTCTCTCTCTTTCTCTATTTCTATCCATCTATCTGTTAGCTTTCTCCACCTTCCTTCTCGTTCGACGGGCTCGACTAGGTCTCCTGACGAGACCCTGGCCCTGGACAAACTGCCTCGACTTCAGTCACGGTTCCTTCTTCCTCTTAACATATCACATTTCTCTCTCTCTCTCTCTCTCTCTATTTCTCTCTATTTCCCTCTATTTCTATCTCTCTCTCTTTCTATCATCTCTATTTCTCTCGTTATTGTAGTTGGGCTAGTAGAAGTAATTCGAATACGTTGGATCAGGATATCAGGAACTCAGCAGAGAGGTGTTCCTCTCCCTGTTATCCTACGGGATACGCCACGAGAGAAAGAGCAGCAAAGGGGTGAAGAAGAGTTCGTGCCAGACCTGGAGAGCAGTATTATTGATCGACCCTGAATCCACTTGCTTGTCCACGTTTCCGACTGCCCTCCTTCCTATTACTCCTGCAACTCTTCCTCCTCCACCCCTCTTCCCTTCTCTTTCTCTATCCCTTTTCAAGTGCTTAACTATTTGCCAAACTCTCTACCGAACGATTGACTAATCTTCTTTTAATGTAAAAAAAAAAAAAAACTGTGTTTGCCGATCGATCTACTTCGATTGAATACTCGAATTAGACCATTTCTATGACGAATGTTGGGAAAAGTTCTTCACTTGTGAATTATTATTACTAAGTGATAATTGACCAGCCTTAGAATTTGTTGAAATACGTGTAATATTAACCAATATGTACCAATTCATAAATTTTCGATAAGTAATTCTAATAAAATTGGAACCTATTTCAAATTTTGATTGATAGGAAAGTAAAAGCAAAATACTGTGGAAGGGTTCAATAAACGTTTAAAAGTGCAATTAGAACGTGCTCTGGACAACATCCCACAGGCACGCGTCAAACCGATCACGCGGATTCAATATCCGGTCTCTCTCAGTTTCTCTCTATGTGTCGATCTTAGTGTGTAGTGTGTGCATAATCGAGCCAAATGCACGCAGAATATGCATACCCGGAGTAGTAGGGAGCACGTGCCTCGGTTAACGTTCAGATACCGTCACGATGCTATTTCGTTTCGTGCATTCGAAGGGATAATCTCTGGGATTGGAAACGTGCGAGTTTAGTGAGGGACGCATTGCAGTTACTGACATATCTTTTGTCCTGGTTTTTATATTCGAACAATGTATTCTGATCTACTTGTTTCGACTCTATGAATCTATTATAATCCAAACGATTACGTTTCACGTTTCTGTTAAGCCAGGTTTTAAATATTATTACTATTATTATTATTATTATTATTATTATTATTATTATTATTATTATTATTATTATTAAGTTGTCTAAAAGATTTTTGCTTTTTTAAATCATTTTCCTATTTATGCATTAGGTTGCCCAAAGGTATGGCGCCGATTTATATACTAAATGAGAAACAATTGGCACGAACTTTCCGAAAGTAAATCACTATATTTAAATGTCATACAGATAATAATCACTTTCGTTCGTTCATATATTCCTTAATACGTTTAATAGTTAATTAATTAAACTCCCAATTTAGTCATAGGTGCAGGGTTGCGATTGCTTCACAGTTTACTACAAAGCAATTATATTTTAAATTGGACGTTGAATTCTATTCGTATTATTGAATATAATCAATACACAGTGCGCATAGAGATACACCATTTTAACCGGATAAAATTCTAAATGATATATTAATACGTTTATTATCCCATCTTTGTTTATCAACGAATTTCAAATATAAAAATGCAAGGTTCTTTTGACGAGAAATTGAAAATCGTATATCAAATATCTTCGTTTTAGGGTCAAACGGTGATTTCTACGTATCAGAAATATTTTTATTGTTGGATAGAAGCTACGTTGGGATGTAGCTTGGTTATCTATATTCATGTACTGTACTATGCGGATGCACGATGCATCCGCTGTTGTTTGATTCGCAATGAACCTGAACGTATAGGATTGCAACTAACTGTCGATAAGCATGTGATATTTCCTTCGTATTTACATTGAATATAGGATCATCAGATTAAGCGATTGAAGTTGTATTGATAAATGTGGTACATATATGCAGATTTTGTACTTTTGATATACATGAGTAAATCCAACCGTTATAACATTTTTTTTAGATAGCAGATAATGAAAAATTAATTGTCATTATTTATGCAGTAAATAAACTCTATTCAAACTTCAATCTTCAAAATGTTAGCAAATAAATCGTACCAATATTTTTCATCATGTCTGTAAAATGGATTATCAGTAAACTCTGACGCAACCTAGCATTCAACTTGTTAATAGATACCATCACAATAATTGTATATGTAATAACATAAAAACATGATCAAAAGATTTCTTCCATATCTGATTTTACATTCAAAATCTGAACAAAACAATAACTCGGGAAAATAGGTAAAATCTAATTTTGAGAGTAGAAGATAATTGGAACACTCTCGATATTTTCAGAGGTCGAAAAGAGATCACGCGACGAGACTGTTCCTCTTTGCTACTCCTCCTCACCTCTCTTTCTCTCTCTCTCTCTCTCTTTAACGTTAACAACAAGCAGGAAGTGCAATCTTGTGCCGTCCGGATCGCAAGTTTATATTTAAACGCGAGATAACGACGTTTCCATGCACTCGTAGTTCCTCGTGCGGTAACTTAGGTGGGCGTAGACGATGAATGAAATAGCGTTTTAGCGATAGTTGCGTCCGGTCGGACAGGTTAGCCAGTTACTTAGCTTTGCCTAGAGCTTGCCTAGTTTGTTAGTTGGCTAACTTCTTTCCAGAGGACTCACATAAGCACTCACTTTCGATTATCCTGAATGATTGTGTGTGTATGTACCTTTTTGCTCCTGGTCATTCGTAAATCTAGTTTCATAAATCGTTTCTAACACTTTCTCTTAATGTGTCGGTTAAATAGTTCTAATCGTTTACGATTATTCAAAATTTGTCGACTGACATGGCAATAGCAATGATAATAATTTTGTCTAATTTTGATTAATCTTTATGACTGACATGAAATAAATTAATTGAATGTAAAACACTGAATATGTGCTATTATTTTAACAATGTTTAGGATATAATGTAAATAATATTATTCTTTTTTACTATAATTATTTCTATGGTTTGTTATTATGCAATAATGATTTTATTTGATTTTATATGTATCTCATGTTCTCCTATCTCTTACAGTGATCAATTTTATTAATTAAATAATTTATCTCTCAACAGAAATGACTTAATAACATTAGAAAAAAAAAAATACGTGTAGTCACCTGTTCAGTGACTTCATTGGACAAATAATTATATATGACCATTTTTATGGGGAAAAAACGGAGAAGAGAGAAAATACAAATATACGTTCGAAATAGGAAGAATTCTTGGAAAAGGGGGCTACTATTGTCAAAGCTAACCATCTGCCTGGGAAAAGTTTCAAGAATCGGTAGAATTCTGTTCTTGAAGTAAAGTCGAATCGAGCAGATGATTGAGTAAGGAAAGAAATGAATAGGGGGTGGAGAAGGTGTAGGGCGTTGAGGATCAAAGCAAAGACGAAGTTGACAAAGTTGACGAAGCATGGTTGGGAGAAAGGGAAAAAAGATGGGTAAACAAGAGATATCTCGAAGGGAACGCGCGCGCGTCCTGTTACTTTTTTGGGCCAACTTCGGTGTATTCGCCTTCAGTTGCGTAGAAAGTTGCGGACCCACTGCCCCTCCTTCTCCGCTGACCCATCGCCCCACCATTACCGAGAGCGACGATTCGCGCGCCCAACCACGGCCTCGTTTCAAGGCCCACCATAGTCGAATGGGTGGTGGGGGGCGATCGCGGCGCAGTTTCGGCAACTGCGTCACGCTACGCGGTACGATCGCGATTATCAGACAGACTTCTCTTTATCTTACGTTTTACTTTTTTTTTTTAACGATTTTTGAGATCTTATCAAATTGACCATGATTATTTTTTTTCGGGAATTTAAACTTTTTTTTTTGTCTCTATTTTATTTGGTGTGCGTAATATTATTTATTTAAAAAAAAAAAAAAAACAGTTAGTCGCATTCAGCGTGTTTCATCGGTAAGAATTGTTATATTTTTTTTTTTTTAATATTTGTTTATTATTATTTTTTGTATGTCTTTTTATAAGGAATGTTCTTATACAACAAGTCGAACGAGAGTCATGTTACGTAAAACTTTCATTTTAATAGTATTACAAACATCATACAATTCCTTTCATTATTATGACCCGTTGAGTTGATATAGCAAACATCATTAGCAAAAAAGAGAAATACTTATATTTTACAAATGTAGTTAAAATTACGTTAAATTGGACACGATTCCAAGCAATATCGTGTTGTCTCACAATCAGTTAAAACCATAGGTTTTCGTGAGCAAAACAGTTGCTTAAAATTCGCATATGCATGACATGCGTGACACAATGCGTTGTCAGTAGTATCGGTTTCCGTTTACCTTTTTCTCTTTTTTGACAGAAATAATAGGTCACGGGTATGTTGTACACGCGAACGTAAGTCCTCTCATCGGGGTCGTTACGCTCGTTTCAACAGCGTTCAAAAAAATATTCAACGAGTTTCCTCATGAATGCGATAGAATTTGACAGACATTGAACTCGTATGATTCTGGTTGAGAACTTCTGAAAATTTCTATCGATAAAATGGTAAAATTGATTTAGGATTACTGTACATTAAGACCCAGTCAAGTAATAGTAACGAATTGGATTTATACGTCATTTTGATTGAGAACCACTGAAAATGTACTCTGATCTTCGCGTACTTCAAATATCAAGATTTATAGCACTCCGATTCTCTTTCTAATTGCATCGTTCTTCTCCTCCTGTTCCAGATACCTCAAGCCATAAACGGGCGACGATTGCATAAGGAACTTTATGAAAGGGATTATCGATGCGTGAGCGAGCACGCTATACTCGAACCCTTCCGCATGAGGAAGAGACAGCAGGAATCGGCGGAGGAGGAAGAGAATCATTTCATGATCTTTCGAAAATCGCGAGAATATTTTCATCGGCGTTCATAGTAAATACGCTGAGAACTACATAGCCGTATACATAATGCAACAAGAACGTTAACAAATAATATAAAAATATAACAATAACTCTAACTGCTTAGAGTTTATAAAATAAGTATCATCTGATCGTCCTTAAGTTTGAAATAGCATCGACACGTCGATACGAAACTCGGTGGTCTCGTCGGGTGTGCGTATCGATCGTCTCGTTGAAAGAGTAAAAAGAGAGAAAGAGAGAAAGAGAGAGAGAGAGAGAGAGAGAGAGAGAGAGAGAGAAGAAAAACAAGCAGAAGAAAAAGAAGAAGAGTAGGGTAGCTCTCTCTTTTCAAAGATCTCAGGAAGGAACGAGTACTTTTGGAGAGCAGGAGTTAAAAGACGCATTATATTGCTCATACGTACAACTAAAAAGGATAGAGAACGTAAAGGAGAAAGATAAGACAAAGATAGAGAAGAAGAGAGAAAAAGAGAGAGATAGACTCATTGAAACATCAACACTGCCTTCTTTCGTACGGCGAGAGACGAAAAAGAGAAATAGAAAGATAAGGACAAAGGTGGACTTCGTTACTTGTTTAAAAAATATTAAAAAAGAAAATAGAAGCTCACTTTTGTAGAGGTCACGTAAGTAAGAAAGAAGAGGACTCGTCACGGTGGCCAGCTTAGTGAGCGGTAACGTAGCGGTGCGTTACGATGAAACGTCGGGGGTGCTTGGTGCAGGGGGTGTCGTCCTGGCAGCGACGTCCAGGCTAGCCACGGCCGATCCACCGACATCCACCATGGACACCAGCGACTCGAGTATGGAAACAAGCAATGGCACCGGCAATACGACCGGTGTTGCTGTCCCAGGAACCGTTCCCGGGGTCAGTACGATCGCCTCCGTCGTTGCTAGCGCAGCGTCCTTGGGGGTGATCAAGGCCGAAGCGCCCGAACACCTGGCCGGGACATCGGCGACGGTATCAGCGGTCACTGGACCGGTTGGTACCGGAAGCGGTCTTTTTGCTGGGATAGCCAGCAGTAATAAGACATCCAGGCCGGACGATTGGCTCGCCACTGGTAGTCCTGGTTCACCTCCGGTAGCCCTACAGAGTCAGCATGTCGTATACACAACACCTCAACAACAGTTGCCCGATCCTCAACCTCCTGTAGCTCACTCGAGCCCTCTAGCCCATCAACAGCAGCAACCTGCCGCGAGCAACAACGGTTATGCGAGTCCGATGAGCACCAGCAGCTATGATCCCTATAGTCCCAACAGTAAGATAGGTGAGTTTAATTTGTTCTCTTAGATTTCAAGAACTCATTAAATCCTGTCTTTTCAATCTTAACATAAATCACCTTGACAATTATTTCGAACAGATTTTAATTTCGCGCTTCTGTATTTAAAATAAAACAGAGATTCTTAACGAAATGAACTTTGCGAAACTTTTGGGATACGAGTATCACCGTTCAGGATGATGATGTGACTTATATCGAATATCTTAACCTTATTTGGAAGTATATAATTTATTTTGACAATAGTCTTAGTCACGTGAATCGACCGTATTCGTTCAATTTTTTTCTTACTCTAGGTGAGATTAAAAAGAACGGTGGAGAGGATATTCTTTGGTCGATTAATATACAAAATCGCAAGTTGAGCTGGTTTCGAAAGAAGATGACGGGCGCGGTTCGTCGCGTCGCGTTGCGTAGCGTCGCGCCGTGCCGGCTCGTGAAATAAGAGTAATGACAGATCGTCGTTTCTCCGACAGCGATGATTAATCGAGGTCGTTGGAATCGGGCGAAACGAATTAAACGCGTTCAGGTTTAACGCTCCCTTAGCGTATTCTTCTTTCTTTCGTTCCGTGTTAAAACGCCGGCGAGCTAGACGCTCGTTAAAACGCTCGAGGACCGAGAATGTCCGCGTCAGCGCGATTAAATCAGACCGAACGCTGAGCTTTGATGCGGAGGCGGACAAGGAGAAGGAGAGGGGAAAGACAGAAGGAAAGAAAGAGAGAAAGAGAGAGAGCAACAGTTCGTTTCTGCCGACGCGTTTCGCCTTTATAATGCCGTTTTGATTAAAGTATTTCTTTGTAAGGGAAGGGAAACAGAGAGCTCACTGTGTTTCAGCAGTTGGCATCATCATGGATAGGTTCGAAAATTTTTCTCCTTCAAACTCTTGGATTCTTTTTTTCTTGTAAAAAGTTCTGTTCTTCATCGCCTTCTTCTTTTCTCAACTCTCTCCTCCTCCTCCTTAGAAATGTTTCATTAACCCTAATCTCTTTCTCCTCTCTCTCGCTTTTTGTAATCCATAGGTACATACCATCGATCGTTGCAATCTTAACTCAACCACGTAACGTTATTTATTTTGTTTCCTTTTTTTTCTTGGTTTTTCTTCTTTATTTTTCCTCTTAATTTTTTTTTTATCATTACCTTTCTCCATGAGATAGAGGGAAGCCATGATGTTCAACACTTTAAAGGATTCTCGCTATTCTCGCCACATATCTCTCTTATCTACTACGTATACGTATTTATTTGTCTAACTAGTGACAAAAATTGGTTAACTTTTAAAAGAAAAAATATTAGTTTTCTTTTTTTTTCTTATAAAAAATTCGCGCTAAGCGTTATGCGTCTCACGTTCATATGTCACCTTTCATCTTCTTTTCGCTTTTTCGGAGAGAAAATGTTAGAAAATAAAAAGAAATAAAATATATAAAGGATAAAAAATTTTACAAAGAATTGGAAATAAATAAATTTAAAAGTTCAAACGTCATCATACAAGGAAACGAATTTCGCTTGTATTTCTCAAACTAAAATAAGATTTCTTATATCGTTTCGTCCACGTTTTCAAGAGGAAGCACGTTGATGTGTTCACCGATCTCTCTCTCTCTCTCTTTCTTTTTGTACTCTCTACCGTGCCAGATGCAATTCTCGCGGCCTGGAATTTAAACCGAGACGTCGTCGTCGCGACGCCGAGGCACCAATTCGCCGCCACTATCCTCTATCTCAGCCCCTTTGCCCCACACCGCTCTTCTTTTCGACCGACCTCGATTCGTATATTCTTCTTCTTCTTCTTCTTTTTCCTACTTCTATTTGTATAATTTTCCCCAAACAAATTCTTCTAAACTCTTCCGATTCAACTTTCTTGTGGCAAATGAGTATTAATTAATTTTATTTTTTTTATTTTTTCTGATAAACTTTTCAACAAATCTTCCTTTATTTCGTTGTCGAAAGTTCTCAAACACATCATTCCCAAATTCTCATCTTATCATAATCGTAAATATGTTTATTTACAAGAATTTTAATGTGGTGTTAGAGTAAATTTGATAAATTTTTTTTCATTTTTGTTTTTCGAACTTCCTCTGTACTCTCATTCTCGAATTCGTGCGAGTTCTTACGCTAGTCGCATCGTCTAATCGTCGTCTTCCTTTTTCACTGCAAACTAAGCGGGCGTCACGCTAAATTCTCTATACCATTTTATTTTTCTTTATATTTAAAAATAATCGCTTGTTGGTTCTTCTCTTGATTTTTAGTTTTCTTTTTAATTTTATTCCCCCTCTATTTGAAATTACTTCCTTTAGAACATACGCGTCGGTCATTGAATTTTAATAAAATTTTATATCGCAATATTAATTTTCAATCTTCCAATTGCGATACATAATTCGCAATAAAAATTTTTATCTATTTTCAAACCACAAATAGTTACATACATATATACAGTAAAATCTGTTTTTATGTGATTTTATTTCTGTGCGATTTTTTTTATGCAGTATATGAATTCCAACAGCATTGGCTCTACTGTAATGTTTTCTATCAATGCACATGTATATTTGCCCATAATTTTGAAAGTGGTCTAACAATAAGTAAAAATTTACAAAAAAAAAATAAGTTTATCAGTTATTTCACACCACATTATTTTAAACTAAATTAATTCAATATAATTTTCACGATATTGTCAAAAATGAATTGTTAGATAATGTTTGTTATTTCAATATATATAGAACTCATTTAGTATTCAAATATAATTATTTAAATATCTTGAAACAAAAGATATATAACTTAGACCACTTTCATAATTATGGTCACATATGTGCACTCCAAGACACTCTGTTCATTTTATTCCGTTCTTTGTCATTAATCGAAATGTAAACGAAAATACATCAACGTTATTATCATAAATTACTGCTCTCTTACATAACATCAGCGAAAAGGTTTTTACACTTTCAACGAAAATGATTTTACCGAAATGATTATTAAGAATAAAAATGTCAATGATAATGACATTATCAATAATTTGATAAATTATGAGGATGAACAAAAAAAACTGGATTCTATGATAGTCAATAAAATATATGCAGGGATTCAGCTTTCCAACAAATTTGAAAAACATTTTTTTCAAATAGATACCAATACAGAAAAAAAAGTTTGGAGTTCCTAAAAGAGCTGCTGTCATGAATATCTAGCTATCTTGACATTTACAAACAACCGACCGTTGTCAAAAAAACTTATCATTGACTTTATGGTGACAAAAAATATATCAATAGAAATTTTATCTTCGAGAGACGAAAACGATTTAGAACCTAATTCATCACAAAAAGATGCGCGTTTTGAATTACGACGAGTAACAGGAAATTATTTACATATGTGCATTTTGAAAATTTTTCCATGTATAACAATGAGATATTAAATGTTTTTAAAATATATCCATATGTAATTTGATTATTTATTTTGTTTGAAAGCAATTCTCTCATATATTTCGTATATAATTGACGTATTTTCTAAGTGCGACTTTGTCTATGGGATCCCTCTTCACCGCGTGAACAATTTTTCTTTAATATGTTTTACAAGGTTATATGTAAGTATTTATAAAATTTTCAAATATTTTTTTATGCGGTTCCTATCTACCGCATAAAGCAGATTTAACTGTACATACACAGACAAATAAATACATATACTATCCACTCACACAAAATATGTTAATAATTATAAATCTGTGAACGGTTTTCACACATGCTTATCTCATCCTACTTGGCACATTTAATTCTCTCTAAGCACCCCTTTCGTACAACATCTCTTATCGTTCGAATGGATGTCATTGCATTGGCTGGTCGTTGTATTAGCATACACATAATATCGAACACACACATATATATAAGGGGACCAATCGTGTCGTAAATCATTATCGTTCCCCTCGTTCGAAGCGGAGAACGACGTTCCTGACCTATCCCTCTTCTTGAATTATTTTCCACAGTCATTGTATGTAAGTGTTTACATATGTCACAATATTTATTTATAAGAACTCGAGCAAACGATTACAAAATGAATTGTGGGACAACAGTTTCAAAGCTATTTCTTATTTCAAATAAAAAAATTATCATAATCAATTCGATAGTTTTTTTTTTGTTAATAAATCAATAAATAATATTTAAAAATTTTATTTTAAAATAAACGACAATACTATTATTTGCACAGTATTTTTATTATTATTATTTTTTATCTAAACAACATTAATAATATTTTATCGTTTTTATCATAGTGTTAATACAACTTTATTTAAATATAAAATATTAAAAATCTGTGCAAAAAATGTATTAATAAAGCCAGAACTTTTAAAGAAAAATCGATGTAAACGTTAGTTCCGATTAAACGTAATATTAAATAAGAAGAAGGAGATAAGAAATAATACCGTAGATTATTTTCACCCTTCGACTATGATAATGAACTGTTGCTAAAATAGAACACAGTTGCTCTCGCGTAATACATGTGCATGACAATAGATGACGCATATACACGTAGCATATTCGAGTACGTAGAATGCGTACGCTATTAATATTTCAAAGTAAGGACGGAGAGACATGGTGAGGAGGGTCAGGAAAGAGATGAACAAGAGGAGGGAGAAAGGAAGGGAGGAGGGAAGCTTTTGCTGGCTCGTGCTCGAGCATCGAACCGTAAAGCTCTTTCCGTCAGGCTTTCTTTGAGCTAACTGACTCTCTCTCTCTCTCTCGCTCTCTTTATCTCTCTTTATCTATCTTTCTCTATCTTTCTCTATCTTTCTCTATCTTTCTTTATCTATTCGTCTATTTACAGGATGGCCCACTTAGCTTCCGTCACCTCGAACTTATAATTCATAGCACGTCTTAATTAAAATACTTTTCTCATGTCTATTATAGCGCAACAATAAAATTTAACAATATCTCGATTCAATAATACAATTAATTATAATATTTTTATCTGTTACACTTTTACAGATTAATAGGTAAATAATATATTTGTTTTTTTTTATTTATATC